TTAATGCTGAGAATTAAAGTTTGGTGAACGACTGACGTTTGACAGTTGTGCTTGTTGCTTTGTTTTTGTTTTTATTAACCTAAAATGGATAATATTCTTGATGCTTTTTTGTTTGGGGACGATATTATCCCCCAAGTTGCGAATGCCGTGGTGAATTTAGTGGATGCGCCTCAAAATGTTCCAGAAGGGCGAGGTGAAATAACACGGAATGAAAATTATTTCGAATATACCATTCCACGTTATTCGGACATCCAATTTAGAGAACATTTTCGTATGTCCAGAGTTACTTTCCAGGTAAAATTGTGTAATAAATAAATAACGTCACGTCTATATTCTTATATCTTTTCAGAGACTCTTTAATTGTATCGGTCATATCCATCAGTTGGAAGACAGAATTATTCCATTGGAAAAAAAATTAATGTTTACGATTTGGATGCTAAGTAAACCAGAGAGTTTTTTAGCTGCTGGGGATAGATTTGGTTTGCCAAAGAGTTCTGGGCATAAGATTTTTAGGGAAATAATTATGGAATTAGGAGGCCTGACTCCACAATACATAAGATGGCCTAATATGCAAAATCTTGTACAAACTGCAAATGTAAGAAGACAAATGTTTATTCAATCAATAACAAAAATTCCTTTGCTACTTATTGATTTTACTTTGTGCAAGGTTCATTTTAAAATTATTTCTTGTAGGTGTTTGAAGCTCGTTCTCGAGGAATCCCTGGTGTGGTTGGTGCTATTGATGGCTGCCATATAACAATAAAGCAACCCGTCAATAATGCCATTGATTTTTATAATAGAAAAGGATTTCATTCCATAATACTACAAGGTATGTCATGCCATATTCAGAGCTTAATTTCTACTAGAAAGTATTTTTGGAAAGTTGTGAATACATATGAAGTTTTTTGCTCTACTCATAAAATCTGTTTTAATATCAATAATATTAGTTATTTTTAAATTAACATACAAAATTCCTTATCCCACATTCCTGTCTACTGGTTTCACCAATCTCCAACCTTTTTAATAGAATTAAAGTACTGCCTTAGTGATATACTCATCAAATAACTTATGTTACAATTAAAATCTGTTTTTAGGTGTTTGTAATGAGAGGGGTGTATTTACTGATGTAAATATAGGTAGACCTGGACGAATGCATGATGCTCGTGTATTTAGGATGAGTGAAATATATGATTGTTTAACTCGAGCAGATCCTATTTTGCCACCAAATATGCATCTCATTGGAGATTCAGCATATCCCCTACTCATAAACTTGATGAAACCATATCAGAACAATGGACATTTGCTACCAGAACAAGTAATTTATAATAATAAATTAAGTTCTATTCGTTCTATTATAGAAAGATCATTTGGTCTATTAAAATGTAAATTTAGAAGACTAAAATTTCTTGATACAGAAACTATCCAAATGGCAAACAGTACTGTGCTTGCTGCTTGTGTCCTACACAATTTTATAATATTAGAAGGCAATGTTCTGGATGAGTACAACATTGAAAATCACATATTAAATGAAGATAATAATGAAGGAATTATTGATATAATGGTTGGTGGAGCAGAACAAAAAAGAAGAGACATAGTGCAACAGTGTTATGTGGAAAATAATTAATATTGAATATTATTGTTAATGTTATTTAATTTTATTGTAAATATTTGGTTTAATTGTATTGTAAATATTCTATATAATTTTTTTCCTGTCTGTCTTTTAGTAATTAATGCAAAGAAAGATATGTTTATTCAAAGATGAAAGTATGTTTTTTTATTTTAAGTATCCATAGTGTCTTTAAGAATGTTTCTTTACCTACTAGTCCTATCCTACTTACAAGCATTAAAATATCAAATCTCTATTTAGCTCTATTTGCTTCAAAATAGGTGTTTTTTTTTAAATGGAAAGATAAAACAAAGATACTGATATACTATTTTATTTTGGTTTTGAGAATTACAATATAATATGAAAAGAAATATGATTTATAAAAGAGATAAACATTTTAAGATTGGGAAGCTGATAACAGAAAACAAATCACTTCATATCAATTTTTTGTTGGCAAATATATATCACATTGGATATTCAGTATATCTACTCCTCATTAACTTAATGGGTAAACAATAATAGAGAAATTTACTAGGGATTAACAAACAGAATGGAAGATTTAGATTATACTGATGATATATGCCTCTTAGCACTCACAAAACATGACATGTAACTAAAAATAAACATTACAAGAAAAATCAAACAAGGTTGGTCTAGAAATAAACATCAACAAAACCAAAGAAATGTGATTTGTCCCCAGGAACAACCAGCTTATTGTAATCAGTAGCCCTGAAATTTAGAGAGTGATGGAATTTGTATATCTATCTGGGCAGCATAATTGGCTGTAATGGTGATACAGAGTGTGCTGTGCAGGAAATAATTAGAAGGCCCATAAAGCATACAATACGCTTAATAACATATGAAAATCCAGAATTTACCCAACTAAACGAAATTAGTGAAAATTCTTTATATATTTTGACCAATAAAATATCAAATGAAAATAACGCAAATAAGGTGAACAAAATGGAAATGGTTGGGCCACACACTCCATAGACAACCAGATGACATTGCCAGGAGAGTATTAGATTGGAATTTTCAAGGCTACTTGACTAGTGACAACTGGAGTTCACTGAAGACACTTTTTGGAAGCCCCATGTTCCTTTCGCAATCAATCAAAATTTCGTAATATCAGAAGGCAATGTTCTGGATGCATACAACACTAATTATGCTATATTATATGAAGGAATAATAATATAATGTGTAAAGTTGTTGGAACAGAACAAAAAAGTTGTAAAAATAATTAACATTGAATATTATTTTATTGTATTAATTATAAATAGTAATCAATAGGTACCATTTTTCATAAGATTTGTGTATCAATGAAATACTGATTTCTTGGAAAATAAATGAGGTATAGCTGTTTTCATATTTGTTTTAATGTCCAGATAACTATATACATATAAATATCAAAAAAACTATGAATATTTATAATCTAATCCCTAATCTAGATAATCAGTATATACATTTTAATAATACAAAAACTATTAATATTTATAACCTAATCCCTAATCTAGATAATCACTATATACATTTTAATAATACTAAAATATTTACAAACTAATCTAAAATTCACTTAGAGTCTAAATATTTTTTAAATAAATTATTTCTTTCTTTTTGAAGCTCATTGTGGACCTCCAGTGCACTAGCTACTCTTTCTAGAGCCACAACCTTTCTTAGTTCCACCTCCTCCATTGTCCGGCGGAATTTGGACAATGATTGTCCCTCGGCTCTTCTTTTGAGAGGTGTTTCAACTTGGTGTTTCAACTCACACCCACTAGTACTTGGTTGTGGCTCTAAATTTGTAACTGTTGCATTGGGAGCATCTAAAAGTTCTCCCAACTCTTTAATTTCTTTTGGCATGGCCATACTCATAGATGATATAACTTCATCAGTGTTAATTGTTTTATCATCTACAAATATGGCCTCCATGTCTTCATAATACTCCCAACCAACAGTACCTTGTCCTGTTTTTGATTTTTTGGAATTATCTTTCACAGTTTTGAAATGGGCTTTCATGTTTCTAAATTTTTTATCCAATATATCATTAGATATATTATATCCATGGGATTGAAAAATATTTACTATTTGCTCCCACACTTGTCTTTTTTTTATTTTGGGATTCCGAAAAAGTTCCTTTTTTTCTCTGTAACAGGACAGTAATAATTTTGTTGTTTTACTATTCCAGGAAAATGGCACATTTACAGTGGGAGGGACGTTTTCCATATTTTCGAGGGATATCTCGATTGAGTTCCTGTTTTCTTGGCAATATTTTTCGAAATATTCGGGATCTAAAAATATATATAAATGTAATACTTTAACATAAAATTATATTAAAAAATTTAAGGAATTTCACATAACCTCTTATTCATAGAAATATTTATATTACCTTCTAATAAATTGTGAACCTCTTCACTTTCCACTATTTTATAAATAATGTTATTATAATTGTATTCGATTTGAATTAAATTTGCCATTTTCTATCTGATGAATTTAAATTTGGCGGAACAAATAAGCTATTCAGCGATGATTAATCACAAAAAGTTTAAGGCTGAATAAAATGGCGACCGCTTATCAGCCGATTGGAGTTAGCTTATGATCAGCACATCGTTCACTAGTATCGATTATAAGCCGCTTGCAAGCAGCTTCTAAGCGATCGAGTCTGGTGAACGCAACCACTGACTTGGATTATAATATTGACATAACCTCGAATTTTGACAAGTGTTTCTGTTTCATCTTCATCCAAAATTAACAAAAAACAAACACAACTAAAATGTAGAATTTCCTAAATATGTGATGTAGAAGGATGTGTGTAAAATATTTAGTTGAGAACTAAAGAGCAGCATGTCTGAAAACCAAACAAAATGAAACTGA